GCGGGAGCCTCTCCTGCCTCCTCAGCAGCGCTAAGAATGTCCGACTGCAGCTTAGGCCTATTCCCTGCTGGCAAGTGGACATCCCCTGAGGGGTCCTGGGCTGCCAGAGGGATGTTTGACTGCCAGCTTAGGCCTAATCCCCCAGGGAGCGGGCCTAAGCCAGCAGGTGGTCATCCCCTGAGGGGGTCCCAGACTGCGAGAGGGCACAGGCTGAGGGGCACCCCCCTCCCCGAGTGCACAGATTTTTGTGCACCGGGCCTCTAGTCTATATATATAAAAGGCTAATATGCTAAGTGTCCAACTGGTCACTATGATGTGCACTGACCACTGGGGGCAGACACTCAATGCAGGAGCTGCTGTGACACGCACAGAGAAACAGCACCATGGATCTGGCACCCACAAAGCAACACTCGGCTTCCCCCAAGTGGGACACAGGCTCTTCCACCACCCCTGAGCGACAGCCCGCCAAATTGTAGCCAACGCTGCTAAGATCCTATGGTGCAAAATGCAGGCCACAACCCAGCCCCACCCAGAACCAGTTGCTGTGGGCGCCAGGTAATGACATCACCAGCAATGCCTGACTTCCTCTCCCTAGCAACAACTAGCCTCCTTGCAGTTTCTTCAGCCCAGAAACACGATTTGCTTTATAGCCAAGTGCAAACATTTCACACTTTAACCAAATGTGAAACATTTCCCCATGCCTCATCTCATTTGATCCTCACAGAAGCCCTGGAGTAGGTACATAGGAGAGTTGGTGGAATCCTATTTTCTTTTCATTAGCCAGAAAATGGAGATTTAGAAAACTTAGAAACTTTACCCAACTGAAAAGAAGTAAGGAATGGTGGACCTTAAAAATGACTTTAGGTTTTCTCACTGAGCAGAATATATTCAAACACTGCTGCAATGAAATATTTTACCCTTTGTTTTCCTTGTATGATCTATAATAATAATAATCTGCTTCATGTTGATATTTACTGCTGTGTTGCTAACAATTACCTGAAAGAGAAGTTGGGGTGCTTCACTGGCCAGGAAAAAGTTTAGCTAAATCAGAAAGCAGATCTCATTAAGCAAGTTTATTCTATATCTATAAAAGGCTAAGTTGACTCGCACATGTGTGATATATATAAAGCTCTTGCTGGCACCAATCA